ATTAATGTTAGACACTGCGTATATATAAATATATTCATATATGAAGATATGTTATTAATATATCATATCACTTTATATGTAAACATATTTTTTATATTTTTCTTATTTATTTTGCTATAACTGTCTTCGGTGCTTCACCTTCATATACTATAAACAAATGTTTATCTCAAAAGAGAAGCGTGAAAACTTAGGTCATTAATTCAATTTCATAATCTGTTGTCGTTATTGAAACTGAATCCATTAGCGTATTTAATTGCAGCGCTAAATGGAAGAGTTATTTCATACTTAATGTTGATTAGGCAGCAGTTGAGCATAATTAATTAAAGGATTGAGTTGATTAACCCTAGTCCAAGTTAAGTAAGCAAACGAAAATTATCAAATCGGCTTACCTAATGTAAATAACTTTGATGAGGAAAAGATGAGAGAGTTAGTCAATTGCTGAGGTATATGAATGCATAATTTAATATAATAAATAACTAAGTATATATTAATGTAAAAATTTTTAAAATTTTTGTTTTTGACTTTTTTATCGACATGACTTATAATACATAATTTTAGGTCAAAATTTAAGTCGTAACTTAACTACTAAATTATATTTCAGTTGTGCAGATAACTAAAGCAGTTTGAATAGGAATTTAACTCATAATCTGCGAGATTTTATATATGTATGCAAAATTTTAGTGAAAACGGAGAATATTAAGAAAGAAAATGAATTTGATGCAACATTAAATTTTAAATATTTCGATTGCCTCGAATATTTCATATTCTTTATCAAAGTCGAAACAACGAGAAACGGTAAAATTATTACAAATCAAATTGCGAGGAATTTTGTCGAATTTGAGAATTTTTAGGGAACACAGCAGTTTTACGAATTATTGAGATTTTCGACCTAGCGGGGGACATACTGCGACTCAAGTAATAAATATAATGCAGCAATTTTGTAATTATATATACGCTTATACTTAGCATTTGTGCTAACAATGAAGAAATTAGTCGGCTCAGATGTGAGCTCAATTATTTCGCATATTGCAAATTTAATTATATCTAGCCCTACTCTGAGACTCAACGCAATTCATTTGAAAAGAAGTTCTGAGAATTTTGCGGCTACACAAAGAAGGCCAAGCAGCTAGGCAAAGTAATCGTTGGTATTTTAGCAAACAGAAAAGGGCATTGAAGTGAATTAAATTGATAAAAAAAATAGATATTTAAATATGCATTTAATATGTATTAAAGCAGACAAATCTGAGCTATCACTGAATTGACTGATAGTAGTTTCTAGATAAGTCCAATGGATGACCCAATTTGAGGAATATTTTCAGCTGCTGATCCCCTTACAACCCACAGAGAAAGAGAGAGAGAGAGAGAGAGAGAGAGAGAGAGAAGGAGAGTTGGCATTTTTGGGACTTCCCACATGTTTCATTCAGTGCGCTGTCTGCCTAGTTGAGGGCAGGTGTGGTGATTCACGTGTAAATCGGCGGCAGAAACGTCAGTCGGAAGTTAGTAACTGTTGATTGTAAGGCAGTGGCTGGAGGTGTTCGAGCCGTGGCTCGAGTATGACGCGCAAGGGTCACGTTCTCCATCACGCACTCAAAGCGCAAAAGCTCAAAAAGTGCAAAAACACTTGAGTTTTCCGCAGCAGCAGAACAATGGCACAAAAACGGGGAGGACGAGAGCCGCACGGCCAACTGGCAGCAGGCAACAGGCAGG